TTGGAGAAATGTAGCATTGCATCGCTTGCTCACCAATGGATCCTCTGCAGTGAATGGGTGCCGTCAGAATGAGAGTCCAAACAGCTGATAAAAACATCACAATAATCCACAAGTAATCCACACCACTCCAGTCCATCAGTTAATGTCTTGTGAAGCCAAAAGCTGCGTGTTTGTAAGAAACAAATCCATCAAGGCCTTGAAGTTTTTAACTTCTAACCATTGCTTCCCGCTAAAATACAAGTCCATAATCCATAATAACGCTTCATCCAGTGAAAAAGCCGTCTCGTCTGAATCAGAAGAGAAATCTGCACAGATCAAGCACCGTTAACAAGCCAAAACAGCTCTAAACAAATATGTGGGTGGATTTTGATGTGAGACACAACAGGAGATTAACTTTTTCACTGGAGGAAGCGTTATTATGGATTATGGACTTGTATTTTAGCTTGAAGCAATTGTGTGAAGTTAAAAGCGTCTTGATGGCTTTGTTTCTTACAAACACACAGCTTTTGGCTTCACAAGACATTAACTGATGGACTGGAGTGGTGTGGATTACTTGTGGATTATTGTGATGTTTTTATCAGCTGTTTGGACTCTCATTCTGACGGCACCCATTCACTGCAGAGGATCCATTGTTGAGCAAGTGAAGCTAAATTTCTCCAAATCTGATGTAGAAACAAACTCATCTAGATCTTGGACAGACTGAGGATGAGTACATTTTCAGCTAATTTTCATTTTTGGTTGAACTATTCCTTTAAATGCAAACAAATCACACACTAATAGTCTGATTATTGCCAGTAATTTCTTCTAATTATTTATAATATAAAATATGCGTTCAAATTCAATAGGCATGTTTTCTTCTGCTGTTTTCATTGACCTGCCTCAAATTCAAAATCTGCTTCAAATGCAAAAAAAATGGCAAAATAATTCCTGAGCTCACTAGAAATATTGTTTTCTATTCATGCAGTGTTTTTAAACCCATGCATTTGCATAATGCATCATCTGTCTATAGCACAAATGTGCATTTTCATGAGCGTGGACATTAAAATGTGATTTTGGTTGCTGCATAATCATAATAACATAATCACAAAATTCTGTTAACACAAGCTTCAAATTAATCTCAGTACAGCTTTAATCTCATTATGAACATAGTCATTATGTGTTTGAGCATATTTGTGTTCCACTGCAATGTTTTTCTGATGCTGTTATGTGTTTAATAGAATGATAAACATAAAAACTAGATGTTTCAGGCCTTTAGATGTGGTTAATGTACCGGTAATATGCCAAACACACCAATTTGGTCTTGATAGACTGCAATCAGAACAGAATCTTAATAATTTCTTGTAGAGAATCTCATAATCTGTGTAATTTTGCTGTAGCTACAAGCCCAAAATTATCACGAGTTTAATCATTCAAATCATTCAGACTGGAAATGAAAGAGTACTTATTTGTATTTTTTTTCTCTGACGTGACACCAGCATCCGTGATCTGTTTTAAAGCAGCAGGGATTTTGCATTTTGCATTATTCACCAAGGGTCTATGGCCGAGGAAATCCCATACAGTAAGATCAGACCGAGCACTTAATACATGAGTGTGTTTTATACACAAACAAGAGAGCGAGTATAAACCCGACCCGCTGACGCGAACTTGTTACCATAGCAACCACTCATCTGTCAGCCTCACGTGCGCAGTGCTGTCAACGGCACATGAGCTGGCAGAATTAATCAAGGAGTTTTTGATGAAGGGAAAAAATGTAAAGAAACACATGAGTCTACTGTCAATATCTTGCTTCTCTGTTTCCTGTAAGTGTGGTTCATACATGTCTTGACTCTTGTACAAGGTTTATGAGATTTCACAGAAGATGCTGATGAGGACAGAGCAGATCCCCATTCAGACTGAATTTAAAATAAAATAAAAAAACAATGAACAAAAATGAAAAGCTAATACTGGTGTACATCTTGTCATCTTGTTAGTGGCGTTTGCTTGCAATACACTGAATAAAATATATTTTATTAGATAGATAGATAGATAGATAGAAAATGTAATATAAATGTATATTAAATAATTATATATAATATATAATAATTTTTAATATAAATGTAAAAATATTTTTACACTAAATAACCAATAGAACCAAAATACATACACAGAACTTGTAGAATATCAATTTTAAATATAGTTTGTTTTTTAATAGAATATCAAACCAGTTTGCATGTCCCCAATAATCACTGCAATATTTTATTTGGCTATAGTCTAAAAAGCAGAAACAAATTTACCCTAAATTTTGCAGTAATTAAGATGCATATATATATATATATATTTTTTTTTTTAGAAATGTAATCATTGTAGACTTTTTTTTACTATATTTATATAATTATATATGTCACTTTTTCCTACGAATGACCCTGAAATTTCATACAATAAATGCATTGATCATAAGAATTTATATATATATATATATATATATATATATATTAGTTAGCTTAGTTAATTTTATACATGCATTATATATCTATGTATGTGTGTGTATAAAATTAACATTATATGCATTATAAAATAAATGTAAAAAATTTCCGTTTGTTTGTTTACAAGTACGTTGTATACAGTGGGTACGGAAAGTATTCAGACCCCCTTAAATTTTTCACTCTTTGTTGTATTGCAGCCATTTGCTAAAATCATTTGTTAATTTTTTTTCCTCATTAATGTACACATAGCACCCCATATTGACAGAAAAACACAGATTTGTTGACATTTTTGCAGATTTATTACAAAAGAAAAACTGAAATATCACATGGTCCTAAGTATTCAGACCCTTTGCTGTGACACTCATATATTTAACTCAGGTGCTGTCCATTTCTTCTGATCATCCTTGAGATGGTTCTACACCTTCATTTGAGTCCAGCTGTGTTTGATTATACTGATTGGACTTGATTAGGAAAGCCACACACCTGTCTATATAAGACCTTACAGCTCACAGTGCATGTCAGAGCAAATGAGAATCATGAGGTCAAAGGAACTGCCTGAAGAGCTCAGAGACAGAATTGTGGCAAGGCACAGATCTGGCCAAGGTTACAAAAAAATTTCTGCTGCACTTAAGGTTCCTAAGAGCACAGTGGCCTCCATAATCCTTAAATGGAAGACGTTTGGGACGACCAGAACCCTTCCTAGAGCTGGCCGTCCGGCCAAACTGAGCTATTGGGGGAGAAGAGCCTTGGTGAGAGAGGTAAAGAAGAACCCAAAGATCACTGTGGCTGAGCTCCAGAGATGCAGTCGGGGGATGGGAGAAAGTTGTAGAAAGTCAACCATCACTGCAGCCCTCCACCAGTCGGGGCTTTATGGCAGAGTGGCCCGACGGAAGCCTCTCCTCAGTGCAAGACACATGAAAGCCCGCATGGAGTTTGCTAAAAAACACCTGAAGGACTCCAAGATGGTGAGAAATAAGATTCTCTGGTCTGATGAGAGCAAGATAGAACTTTTTGGCCTTAATTCTAAGTGGTATGTGTGGAGAAAACCAGGCACTGCTCATCACCTGTCCCAACAGTGAAGCATGGTGGTGGCATCATCATGCTGTGGGGGTGTTTTTCAGCTGCAGGGACAGGACGACTGGTTGCAATCGAGGGAAAGATGAATGCGGCCAAGTACAGGGATATCCTGGACGAAAACCTTCTCCGGAGTGCTCAGGACCTCAGACTGGGCCGAAGGTTTACCTTCCAACAAGACAATGACCCTAAGCACACAGCTAAAATAACGAAGGAGTGGCTTCTCAACAACTCTGTGACTGTTCTTGAATTGCCCAGCCAGAGCCCTGACTTAAACTCAATTGAGCATCTCTGGAGAGACCTGAAAATGGCTGTCCACCAACGTTTACCATTCAACCTGACAGAACTGGAGAGGATCTGCAAGGAGGAATGGCAGAGGATCCCCAAATCCAGGTGTGAAAAACTTGTTGCATCTTTCCCAAAAAGACTCATGGCTGTATTAGATCAAAAGGGTGCTTCTACTAAATACTGAGCAAAGGGTCTGAATACTTAGGACCATGTGATATTTCAGTTTTTCTTTCTGCAAAAATTGCAAAAATGTCAACAATTCTGTGTTTTTCTGTCAATATGGGGTGCTGTGTGTACATTAAAAAATTAACTAAATTAACTTAAATGATTTTAGCAAATGGCTGCAATATAACAAAGAGTGAAAAATTTAAGGGGGTCTGAATACTTTCCGTACCCACTGTAAATTACAGTCCTGTGTATGTATATATGTATGTATATGTATGTATATATGTATGTATATGTGTATATATATATGTATGTATATGTGTATGTATATGTATGTATATGTGTATGTATATGTATGTATATATGTATGTATATGTATATATATATGTATATATGTATGTATATATATGTATATATATATATATGTATATATGTATATATATATAATTTTATTTAATTTATTTAAAATTTAAAATAGAAGATTTGGCTGGAAGATTTAAGAACTGTGTGTAAATGTGGATGATCATATTTTAATGTATTTGTATCATAATTATTTCTGAATGAGCCATTTTTGCAGCTTAGTTTCAAACAATTGTTTGTGTATATGTACATAGCATATCAAACAAGAGGCATAGGAACAAACCGTAGCGACTTTGCTCATGAATATTAATTACGTGACATTCGCCCAGTAGTCCTGGCTGATTGCCTTAAATGCAGAGGCTTGGTTTTGTGTGTGTGTGTGTGTGTGTGTGTGTCTAGCTACTTCGGCAAAGACAAATGAACCTCAAAGTCTTAAAAATAAAATTTTTACAGTTTCGTTTGATGACTTTAGTGGTCCAGAAATGATACACTTTGTTGTTGAGAGCTTTTTGGAATGAATCTTTAAAATGAAGCACGTTCTGTTGGCATCTGAACATATGCCCTAGCAGATGCTGCCTGTCGTGAAGATCTTCTGAGTTTTTAAGATCTCTCTCTCTCTCTCTCTCTCTCTTTCTCTCTCTTTCTCGAACAATGAACGTCCACACGGCCCAATACGAGCAGCCATCCGGCCTTATGCAAGTCAGTTTCTCCTTCCTCCATTAGTTATTCTCTGTATGTGTCAGTCCTTCATCTGCTTTTGATGTCTTTCTCTCTCTCTTTCTCCATCATGCGTGTGTGTGAATACTGTATCCAGTGGCCGTTTTTGAGGGCTAGTGAGGAAAGACAGAGTGTGAGAGGTGTTATAACTCTGTCCTCTTTCTGGTTTCTCCTGTACTTCTTGTGACCTCCTTCTCTCTTGCCCTCGAAATCTCTCCCTCTCTCGTTCTCTGTGTGTCTCTCGTTCCCCCGTGTGTAGCAGTGCGGCGTCACTCTCTGCGTCAGTGTGCCATTACGTCAGCCCTTCATCGCGTCACCGCTGAGGTGCAGATGAGCTAACGTGTCTTTCTCTCTCTCTTTCTCCATCATGCGTGTGTGTGAATACTGTATCCAGTGGCCGTTTTTGAGGGCTAGTGAGGAAAGACAGAGTGTGAGAGGTGTTATAACTCTGTCCTCTTTCTGGTTTCTCCTGTACTTCTTGTGACCTCCTTCTCTCTTGCCCTCGAAATCTCTCCCTCTCTCGTTCTCTGTGTGTCTCTCGTTCCCCCGTGTGTAGCAGTGCGGCGTCACTCTCTGCGTCAGTGTGCCATTACGTCAGCCCTTCATCGCGTCACCGCTGAGGTGCAGATGAGCTAACGTTGCTTTTTCTCTCTTCCCCCTTTGTCTCTTTCTCTCGCGCTACCTGTGCGTTTAACTCTATCTCTCCCTTACGCCAACTTCCTATCTCTCTCGTCCAGTCTACGGGCACCAGCGTGACGGTGGACATCGCGGTGATGGGCGAGGCCCACGGACTGATCTCAGATCTGCTGGCTGACCCCTCCCTACCGCCGAACACCTGCAGCACCCTGCGGGCCGTCAGTAACCTGCTCAGCACCCAGTTCACCTTCCAGCCGCTGCACCACCGGCCGCGCCTGAGCCCCCTGCTGGCCTTCAGCGATGGACACGCCTGCTCCGACTCAGAGGAGGTGCCGGAGAAAGGAGAGAGGCTGGCCATCTCAAAGGTAAAGCCACACCCTCTCAGGTAGCAGGATTTGATTGGTAAATGGCCCTTTGCTAAGCCCCACCTTAAAAATATGACTGACCTTTGCAGCTGTTGTGGTGCCGGCCACTTTTTTCCATTTCCATACATTTTGTTCAGTTTTTTTTTAATAGTGAGAAATCTGTATTGTGACATACATTCAATTTTAACAAATTATCGTGAAAGAAAATGAAATGGGTGTGACTTGACTCTATTCTTCAGTCATTGATTGCATGTTGCTAAGCCCCGCATTAAAATATGATTGACCAATCTAATCTTTGCAGCTGTCGCGGCATCAGCCACTTTTTTCCATTTCTATTCTTTAAGTAGCGAAAGATTCTTTTTTTTCCGTATTGTGATGTATATTTGAGTTTAATTCATTAATGACATAGAAATCTGTGGGCGGGACTTGGTTCCGGTTAGTTGTTGATTGGATGTTGAGATGTGAGAGGAGGTGCCAGAGAAAGGAGAGAGGCTGGACATCCCGTAGGTAAGGCCAAACCCTTTCAGGTGCTGGAATTTGATTGGTTATTGGCCCTTTGCTAAGCCCCACCTTAAAAAAAATGGTTTACCAATCTGACCCTTGCAGCTGTTGTGGCTCCACCCACTTTTTTCCATTTAAATTTTTTCGTTGAGATTTTTAAAGTAGTCACAGATTCTTTCTTCCATATTGTGATGTACATCTGAGTTTATTGAAATTAAATTATTAAATTAAAATTGGATTATTGAAAAATAAAAGGTGGGCGGAACTTAGTTCTGTGCAGTGGTTGTTGATTGGATGTTATGTGAGAGAAGCGCCAGAGAAAGGACAGAGCCTGGCCATCTCAAAGTTAACGCCACACCCTCTCAGGAGTAGGACTTTGCTAAGCCATGCCTTAAAATATGACTGACCTTTGCAGCTGTTGCCATTTCCATTCCATTTCCAGATTTTTTTAAAGCCGCAAATGGTGGCGGGAATTGGTCCTATGCATTGGTTGTTGATTGGATGTTGAGATGTGGGCGGGGCACTCACTTGAGCTTGCGTGGGTGGAGTTTAAGAGGACTTAATTATTGGAGAATCCTGCATATATCATTAGAGAGGAGTCTATTGTTTTCACCAGAAGATCTGGATATAATGTTTTTATTAAAGGGGTCATATGATGTGATTTCATGTTTTCTTTTGTCTTTGGAGTGTTAAAAGCTGTTCATGCATACAGAAGATCCGTAAATTCGCAAAGATTAAAGTCTCAAACCCAAAGAGATATTCTTTATAAAAGTGAACACTCAGCCACGCCTTCCTAAAACGCCTCGTTCAAACACGCCCCCACATATCTAC